GAAGGAGGGATCTCTCGCCAACCCTGGGCTCTGTCTCCCCAATACAGGACGCTGAATGAACAGTTAAAGAAACAGAAGCCCACCTACCTCTCGCCTCTTACCTGCACACCACATGCAGGTAGGAGGAGGAGGAGAGCTGTGCTTAATTTATGTTTATTATTAAAAATGCTAAATTTCAAAATTGAAAATGGAAATATTGAAACAATGTTGAATTTGAAAATTTCAAAATTCAAATCTGAAATACTGAAATAACATTGAGTTTGAATAGTATGTAAAACATGTAAAAACGAGTCTTAACCAATGCCTTTTGAAGGCCAAAAAAGAGGATTAAGTATTAATGTGCCAAATTCAATTTCTTCTCTGCTTTTCTACCCCTCCCCTATTTTATTTATTTGTTTTTGAATTAATGTACTGCCCAATTAACAGTGGGGTTTTTGGGGGGAGAGGGTACAGCTTTAAAAACCACAGAATTAAAATGCAAATAGCTAAGGCCTTGTCTACACGTGGAGAGGAAGGTGTCCGAATTCCCAGGTGGTAGAATGGGCAGAACCATTTCAGACAGCAGAGGGGAGATCACAGTTGCGAATGCTCCCATATTATAAAGAAACAACCTAAAGCAGAAAGCTCTCACAGCAAAGAGAAGGTTGAGACCAAACCTTTCCTGCTGATGTCCTGGGTCCACCCCCTCTCCTCTTGTTTGTGTTGTTTTGGCAGGGAGTTTTCCCACGGGGGGGGGGGAATGCCATCCTCTACCTGCAGCCTGCAGTGGTACAGTCCTTAATTCCCACCATCTCAGGCTTCTACCACTTCATTCTGCTGCATGAATAGCATTCATGACGGAGGACATTCTAAAAGCATGCATATATAGTTTTAAAATTTAAACATGATTCCACGTGGCGTGGCTATGACTGCGTGAGTTGCTTGTCCACAGCACCCTCCATTTTTGCTCCCAGCCTCTCTGCTGAGCTCTTCCACTTTTGCTCTTGACCAAAGGCTCACCCAAAACGTTCATTCCAGCCTTGAACTCCAGCTGCTTCTGGGTCACGGTGCTGGGACCCACGTTGACCTCCGTGATGGTGGTGTTGAGCACTGACCCACTGGCGTGGACTATCTGACTCACGTTTTCCTTACGGACCACAACTGGGGGCACAGGGATCTTAGTCGTGACGGTTTGGATCTGTGTGAGAAAGAGGCGGCATGGTAGGTGGAGAGGGCGGTTTGGAAGCAACCAACCACTGCCAAACCACTGTCCCAGTCCCTGCCGGCCTTTGCCTCCCTGATCCATACATTTGCTACGTGCGTTACCTGCTGGAAACAGGCTTGCACCAGGTTTTCGGGGAACAGGTTCCTGATCAAGTCCAGAAAAGCGTCCAAACTGGAGACTTCCTCGTTTCTAGTCGTCACCGTGGGGGATTTCTTGAGTTTTGGGTTGCCGGGGTGGATAGACAAGACCAGAATGACGCCCAATATGGCCGCCACCACAGTGGTGGACATGTAATAAACCATGGCGCGAGTGCCCATGCGCCCGCTGGATTTGGCATCGAGGCCGGCCAGACCTGCTCACAAAACACATCACAAGAGGTTAAGGGGTCAAGGAATGGAGAGAGGCCACCCTGCCTAAATCCATCCTCCATGGAAGTTCGTAAGAGGTGGACAGACCAAACAGGAAGTCACAAAGAAAATAATAGTTGAAAGGAGAGGAGGCAGTTGCAGAATGGTGTCTCAGGGAGTGGGACCAGCTTCCTCCTGCCACTCATGATGAACCACACACTGGGATACCTAAAGGTAAAGGACCCCTGATGGTTAAAGGAAAAGGGACCATTAGGTCCAGTCAGGGCCGACTTTGGGGTTGCGGCACTCATCTCGCTTTATTGGCTGAGGGAGCCGGCGTAAAGCTTCCGGGTCATGTGGCCATCATGACTAAGCTGCTTCTGGCGAACCAGAGCAGCGCATGGAAATGCCATTTACCTTTTTGCCGGAGCAGTACCTATTTATCTACTTGCACTTTGACGTGCTTTTGAACTGCTAGGTTGGCAGGAGCAGGGACCGAGCAACGGGAGCTCACCCCGTCACGGGGATTCGAATTGCCGACCTTCTGATCGGCAAGTTCTAGGCTCTGTGGTCCAGCTTCCTCCTGCCACTCATGATGAACCACACGCCGGGATAGCTAAAGGTAAAGGACCCCTGATGGTTAAGTCCAGTCAAATTTGATTATGGGGTGTGGCGCTCATCTCCGCTTTCAGGCCAAAGGAGCCGGTGTTTGTCCGCAGACAGCTTTCCAGGTCATGTGGCCAGCATGACTAAACTGCTTCTGGCGCATGGAACACCGTGACGAGTGCCAGAGCGCATGGAAGTGCCGTTTGCACTGAGATAATGAGCATACAATACAAGAACAGATCTGCAGCTGATGTAGAACAAATTGGGGGTTCTAACACAAAACTCTAATATTGGCAAAGAGAGGTGTACAAAGACCTGGTCAAGGAGAGAGCCAGCATGGTGGTTGCAATGTCAGATTAGGACCTGGGAGACCACGGTTTGAATCCCCACTTGGCCATGAAGCTCACTGATAAACCTTGGGCCAGTCACTGCCTGACACCTTAACCTAGCTCACATGTAGAGTCACACACCAATCAAATGCACAGATCAGGTGGCATGTTCACTGTGTGTGTTGATAGTGATAGGGGGCTGGTCTCCCACAACTAGGGATGGGGGAGAAGTTTAATTCAGTTCACATTTTAAAGTCATATATTTACGAAATAATATGTGAATCAAAACACAGATGTCCTACAAAATTCACACTTGTTCAGATTTAGCAATGCGGTTCTCCAACCAGTGTCTACAAAAATTCATATATAGGGCAGAGTGTTTGTATAAAAATGAATAAATTAGTGATGGTGGTGGGAAATTGAAGTCAGACATAACTGCATGAATGCTATTTAGTGCACAACGGGCTTAAGACTAGTGAGTTCTGTTCCTAGACTCAGCTAGGTCATGCCCTCTCACCTCCATGAGGGAGGAAGTTAAGCAGCTTCTCTTCCTTTCACTCTCTCCATGCCATTTAACTGACCAAGGAAGATGTTTCTAAGCCAACTGCAAGCTTAGAACACATATTTTAAGCTTTCTGTATTTTCTACCCAAGAGTGTTCTGCCTGTGTTCACCTTGCTGCTACTAGGATAAATGCATGAATCTGACCTTTGGAACATTTTGTAAGTAAAACATTTTAAACTTACTTAACAGTGTGTGCTCTGGTCATTGCAAGAGGAGTATGCAACTAAACAGGATAAAAGGGTCTAACAACCTAAATTCCTAATGCTATACTGCTGCTTGACTTTTGTGAGCTTAAACTCTTATCCTGGGGGCTCTCGTCTGCTGGAGAGTGACTTTATCCCTGTGTTTTGAATCTGGGCACCAAGCTGATTCTTTTGTTATTTAAGTCACACAGGGACTGATATTTTCCTCCCACAAATATAGCATACAAAAATGCATTAAATTAGGGGGAATTGCTTGCAAAAATATGTTTGCTAGTCAAAACTGCTTATAAAAATGTGCTTGTTAGGATAAATTTGCTCTAAATTTCTGATGATTTTTCATTATTGCAGAAGTGTGGAGAACTGAATTTAAGACTGGGAAAAGGAGAAACTGAGAGAAATGAAATTGACCGATCCTTCCAACCTTTCCCACAACCCTCTCTTACATTCTTTCAAGGCATGGGGGGCTCTTATGTACTCACCTTGGATGCCATTTCCCCCACAGTTTCACAATTTGTTCCTTGTTCCTTTCAGCGAAAACCCAATCTCTTGGAAGGCCAGCTAAGCTATACAGAGGCTAGCGCCCCACTCCTGAGGTTTGGGATCTGGAGCCATTTCTCCCCCCCCCCCCCTCACCTGAAATGAGACTGGATATCACAAGAGGCAAGATCAGCATTTTCAACATGCGCATAAGGATGTCCCCGGGAAAAGAAATCAGCATGATCAGGTCGCTGTCGAGAGGTGGGAGCAACCTCAGGAGACTTCCAAACAGAGATCCCAAAATCACTCCTGAAATGAAGAGAAAAAAGACAAGGTCCCAGGATACTTCAGAAGTAGCTGTCACCAGGTAGGGAGCAGGACTAGGCTGTTTATCGACAGGGTGTCCCTTATGAGTAGTAGCACTAGGGTCGGGCTTTGGGGTAGATGTCCAAGGTCCCATGAAGCCTAATGAGAAGGAGGGTCCCCCCAAACGTAGCAGGACAGAGAAGTAAATAAAGTAATTCCTGTGACCATAAAATAATAATAATAATAATAATAATAATAATAATAATAATAATAATAATAAAATATATTATTTATACCCCGTGCATCTGGCTGGGCCTCCCCAGCCACTCTGGGCAGCTTCCAACAGAATATTAAAATACAATAACCTATTAAACATTAAAAGCTTCCCTAAACAGGGCTGCCTTCAGAAGTCTTCTAAAAGTCTGGTACGTCTGGTGGGAAGGTGTTCCACTGGGCGAGTGCCACTATCGAGAAGGCCCTCTGCCTGGTTCCCTGTAACTTGGCTTCTCGCAGGGAGGGAACCGCCAGAAGGCCCTCGGATCTGGACCTCAGTGTCTGGGCAGAATGATGGGGGTAGAGACGCTCCTTCAGGTATACTGGACTGAGGCCGATTAGGGCTTTAAAGGTCAGCACCAACACTTTGAATTGTGCTCGGAAACGTACTGGGAGCCAGTGTAGGTCTTTCATTTACCACATGTCAGCTCATCCCTCTTGATGCAGCGGCATTGAGGGATGGTGGAGGCTTCACTGAGGCCCCGATGTGGGAACTGGAACTGCTGTGCCCTTCCTGATAGGCGGTGTGTGTGTGTGTGTGTGTGTCAGAAGCCCGCCCCCACAGGTCTATCATGAACTGGATCCTAGCTTGCATTCTGATTTGGCAAAAGGGGATGCAGGCTGGGACTTGGGCTGTGCCAGAGGGTGGAGCCAATGGAGTGGGGAGGCTTCCCTCAGATCCGCCCCTTGCCCCGTTTAAGCGGCCTACACGTGGGGCACTACCTGTTCGTTCCTTCGCTGGGTTTTCCCCCTGCCCACCCACCCTTGGTTTGAGCTAGTAGTCAATGACTTTGCTGTGGCTACGGTGATCGCTGTTCTGGATGGGGCCAGGTAGGAATTTGCCCACCGGGCTAACTGGCACTGTCCTGGTGGTTTTGCCTACCTCATAGCAATTGTCACAAGTGGTTGGCATTGGGTCAATCTTTTGTTTTGGACGGAGGGGAGGTTGTAGTCCCCACCTGCCCCTCCAAACGCTGGGGTATCCCATTAAAGGGATCAGGGGGGAGTGGCCATGTCCGTGTGCCCAGGGGGCCCAGGGCTGAAGGCACTCCCCCAGATGGCGGTCCCTGGGGGGGGGTCACCCTATATGCTGTAAGTGTTAGGAACCCCCATCTGGATTGACAACGCGTCATTTCCAGCGGGCGGGCCGGAAGTGTTTAGATTGCCCCATGCCCAAACCAAATCAAGATTGCCCCATGCCAAGCCAATAAAGTTGTGGCCTGTTTTGACCCCAAACCAGTCTTGTTGGTCTCTTATTTATATGGGTTGGGGTTTAGGGAGCCTTACGCCTGGTCTCACAAGTGAATTATGGCAGGCACCTACACTTTGGTTACTCCAGAAACCACTGAAGCCATTTCCCTTTTGCCAAGCTTTTCCAACTGCGTGGAAAAGTTTCTGCCTTAAGTTTTCAACCTGCATTATTTTCCAAACCTTGTTTTTAGTTGTCTTTTTTTTTGTACCTGCTTTTAAAGCTATTTTCAGTTTCTTTTATGGAAACCGCCTTGGAAAGCTATTCATTAATAACAATAACAATAATCTCTAAAGATGGACACCCCGATAAATCCATTACGTCAGAGTCTAAGACCACTGTACCATTAAACACACTTACCTGGGAGGAATCATAGAATTGTGGAGTTGGAAGGGACAGTGAGGATCATCTAGTCCAACCCCAGGAATATGCAGCTGTCCCAATTGGGGATCGAACCTGCAACTTTGGCGTTGTCAGCACCACGCTCTAGCCAACTGAGCTATCCAAGCCCCACCAAATTCAGCAAGGTAATTTCCATCTGTTTTAGTGTTTTAACTTTTGTATGTTTAAAAATATAACCGTGATTTGTTTCTTGGTTTTACTGTTTTATCTTTAGTAAATGCTTTGAGGTGGTTGTTGTTTACAATCTAGCAGTGTATGAATTTCATGAAATAAATAATAATAACAATTAGGGCTGAGCGTGTTAGGTGGTCATGGAATGCTGACTGAGTGTTGGGTGGGGGGTAACAATTGGTTAGGGGGGTGGTTAATGGAAATGAGTGCCCGGATTCCTGAATGGCCACTTGCCACCTGCTAAAATTGGCACATCGAGCTGCCATTAAATGCACAGGACAGAAAGCGGTCCGTTCAGTTTGCAAAACTATCTGAAACTGGCTCGCGATTGTAGTGCACAGATACCGCCCCCCACGCAAAGCCGAACTGCTGCTCTAGATGCTGTGTGGGTGTGCTAAATTCAAGCATTCAGGGCAGGATCATGATGATACCGATTTCTAAACCGTTTGGTGAAAACAGGATCTTTTCATGGAATCTGTTCACAGAGTCAGTGTCCTACTTGGAGTAAAGCCAGGCTACAGGGGTTCACGCCCCCGAATCCTCGCTGGGAAAAGATCCAGGATAAAAATTGCTGGATACTGCCAGGGCAAAGTCAGGACAGCTGGGAGGGAAGGAAGGGCAATAAACCAACCCATTCCTGATCCTACTTATTATATCCAGTGCTGCAGAGACCCCCTTATTAAACTTACTAGAGGTCTTTTCATTGTTGTTGTTGCATTGGAACCCACGGGTTCTCTTGCCCAATGAAACGATGTTCAAAACGAACCGTATAAATCAGAGAAACTGGTCCAGAGCTGTAGGTTTTATTTTGAACTACGTCTAGAGGTTTGGCAAGGGTGCATGAAAAATTATTTTAGCCATGGGTAGGAAAAGTGAGGGGTGACAGAGAAATCCAAATAGGGGAGGGTATTATGAATGCATAATGCAAAAGCATTTTGTTCTAGACATTGTTTGCATTTCCCACAAACGTTTTTCAACAGCGCTGAGAGCTAGGAACTTTCTCAAATGGCAACAGCAACAGAAGCCAAGATTATCAAGGGTCTGCATTTTGAACCAGGTATCGGATGTGATGTGGTATTATGCACATGCAGGTATCCTGGAAAAAGATATGAATAAAGGCCAGTGTGTACAATTGCCAGAATCAAGTGATATAAGGCTTCAGCCTCCTGTATAAACCCATTTATGTGGTTTGGAGCAGCAAATGTTTAATGTGTTATCAGTCTAGGGCTGGTTATGAGAAACAGAGCTGAAAATGAAGAACCCCAGCACAGCTGTCAAGCTCCTTCCTTTGGTTATTGAGACTGCAGATTGCTCTCAACAGCTTCAGAGGGCAAGACTCATGCCTGAGCCCCCGCCATGGAGAAAAAAAACCCCTCTCCTTGGACTCCTCTAAGTACCACCTCAGTTGACCTAATCTGCATGTTTCCGTTTCTCCAGTTTCCGATCTTAAATTCGGCTCTCCAGATTTCCACATCAGTTTTTTAATTTCTAACCCCCCCAAAAGTCCTGATGACAATATCAGCATTTTTCTCTTTTGTATTAGCATACCTAATACACACATTTTTGCAAAAAACAATTTCCCCCTAATATGATCCATTTTTGCACACATTACCTGCACTGCAATATTTGGAGAAGTGCGACAGTAACTCAAAACGAGATCTCCCTCTCTTTCACACACGCACACGGCCAGCCCTGCTGGCATTTTGCTCTGTGGCACAAAGCTCTCTGTTCCCTTTTTCTCAGCGCATGAGATGCTGGTGTCCTCTGGACCCCTTCGCCCTCTCCTTCAAGCTGATTAGGAGCTGACAGTGGACGCAGGGTGGGTGGGGTGGGGGCCTTGGGTGAAGCTACAGGGATTAGACCCTGTTTAATTTTCTTTCTCCAGGGCAATGACGTAAAAGAAACAATGAGAGACTAATGAAATCCTGGCCTTTTACCCTGTGCTACGAGACTGGATGGCTAGATGGAGCGTGTGCGTTTTTTCCTGTTTGAATCTGTACGACGATTTGAGAGAAAGACAAGTTAACCATACAGATATTGGTCACATGCGATGTATAGTTGAACTGTGGAATCCCTTTCCATGAGAGCCAGCAATGGCTACCGACTTTGGGGTGGCTTCGAAAGAGGATTAGACAAATTTGCGGAGGAGCAACCTAGCCGTGGCTACTAGCCGTGATGACAATAGTCTCCCTCCACTGTCTGTAGCAATGAAGCCTCTGAATACCAGTTGGCGAGGATCACAGGTGAGCAGAGTGCTGCTGTGCTCATGTTCTGCTTGGGCATTTGGTTAGCCACTGTGAGAAGAGTGTGCTGCACATGACGGACCATTGGCCTGACCCAGCAGCGCTCCCCTTATGTGCTTATGTGTTTATTTGAATTTTGAAATACTTTATTGTCACTTGTACAACTTGTATACAGTGAGATTACACGAGCACCCCTCACTCAGCTCTCTTAGTCTTAATTCCCCTTGTTTACTGACGCACGCACACCAAACCCGAAAGTCAGTTGCCCTGTTGTTATCTTTTCATTCAGCAGCCTAACAGCCCACGGATAGAAGCTGTTCTTTACCTTGTTGGTGTGACTAATCAGGCTTCTATATCTTCTGCCTGAGGGCAGGAGATCAAGAAAGTGCCAAAATATTATGAAGATGTCAAGGAAGGAAGGAAGGAAGGAACCAGAAAGAGAATAACTGTGCGGCTGATAATGTTGATCTTCTCTTCCTTTTTCAAAGCATCGTTCCATCATTGTTTTTCATAGATTTGGACTGCAATAAAGAATTGATTTGATTGTATTCCGTAGAACCATAGAATCCTAGACTTGGAAGGGGACAATGAGGATCATCTAGTCCAACCCCCTGCAATGCAGGAATATGCAGCTGTCCCATACAAGGACCGACCCTGCAACCTTGGCATCATCAGCACCACGCTCTAACCAACTGAGCTATTATGTTGTCTATACTGTATTGTTTTATATTGTTAGCTGTCCTGTGTTCATTCGTGAGGAAGGGCAGGGAATGCATCCAGTGGAGGAAATAAACCAATCATTAAGCTACTGTTCAAAGGTACACAAGCTTGTGTGTTTGCAGCCAGCGAAGAACAGACAAAGAGGTCTGTGGGTGCTTGTGTACTCCTGCACTCAACAGAACTTGAACTTGATAGCAATACACACAGAGAGAGTATCTCAGATAGCGCACACTTTGAAAGCTTCCCTCCTTGCTTTATTGGTCCTGTTCATACGTCAATCCCACACCCTTTTCCTCCTCCACGTCTAAGAAACGGGTCCTTTTTCTTGAGCTCCTCTGCCCTCTGCCTATCCCTGAAGAGGTCACCCAGGGCCAAGAAGCCAGTCCTGCTACAGGGCGACGAAAGGGTGTGTGTACGGCTGCAAGATATGGCAGGTTGCCCAGAGATGGGAGATTAGATGAGGGGCTATGGAAAGTTACTACCCAGATGGGTCTTTTTAAAATGAAAAAAGCAAAAATAGCCTCATTGATGGACAGCTTGCTTGCTTGCTTGCTTGATTTATTTATGGATGGCTTGGGGTCAGAGAGGTAATTCTAGAACAATCACAAAGTCTTTCTGGAACCATTCATGCCCTCCCCTCCCCATCAGACTTTTTACAATAAGGAAAATAATGAGTGTGGGTGACATTTGCTCAATGCAATGTTGACTGAAAGTTTATCCTCATTGGTTTGCACAAAGTTTTCAGGGAGTTCAGATGATAGCTACTTATTGAGCATCCCTTCTGATTTGTTTCTGGGAATGTTGTACGACATTGTTCTCCACACCTAAGCTTCAACCCAGACTGGTGTTTCATTGTGGATATAGCCCGCCGCATGTTCTTAACACAAGAATACTGCATCAGTGGTGGGTTTATTCTGCTTTCATTTATTCCGTGATGCTTCTCCAAGGCTACCTCGTTATTGCTATCTGGAGGGGCTCTAGCGGAACCAAAGTGGGGTAAAAATAAAGCAGGATGTTTGTGGTATAAAAAGTTACAGGATTTAAGCAGGAAGTTATGGACTGGAAATGCAGCGGTGTGACCCCTCTAAACCTTTTGCAGGTGCGAACGGTATTGGAAGCGGGATTGCGAGTGACTGCTCCGATAGCGTCCTCCTGAGCACAAATCATAAAAAGGACATCTATGGAGGGACCCTAAACTAATTGCACTGGCTCAAGTGCCTTGCAGATCAGGTGTGCTGCATATGTAACAAGAGAAGGGATCAGCTCACAACCTGCAACATAGGATGAAAGACAGCTCTGAGTGGGATGGTTTCTGTTCACAAAGAAGAAAGAGACAATTAAGAAGCGATCAGATAGCTATCTTCCAGTACTTGAAAGGCTACCATATAGGATAGGGTCAGCAAACTTTTTCAGCAGGGGGCCGGTCCACTGTCCCTCAAACCTTGTTGGGGGCCAGACTATATTTTGAAAAAAGAAAGAACGAATTCCTATGCCCCACAAATAATCCAGAGATGCATTTTAAATAAAAGGACACATTCTACTAATGTAAAAACACGCTGATTCCTGGACCGTCCATGGGCCGGATTGAGAAGGCAATGGGCCAAATCTGGTCCCTGGGCCTTAGTTTGCCTACCCATGACATAGGACATAGGACAGGATGCAGCACACTTGTTTTCTGTAGCTCTATTGAGGGTGAGGCTTGGAACCAAGAGCTTCAAATTATAAGAGAAAGGATTTTAACTGAAGCTTAAGAAGAACTTCAAGATGATACAAGCTGTTTCACAGAGGAACTAGCTGCCTTGGAAGATGGTGGGTTCTCTTTCTTTACATGTTCTGAAGCAAATGCAGTAGTGGACTTCTTGCAACAGCCAGGGGTGTTGTGCTAATGACCTTCAAAGGTCCTTCCAACTACAATAATCTATGGACTCAGCTACATTAGTCAAGAAACAGCGTTTTGAATGTGTTATAAACATGCAACACCAGATGGTGCCAGAGAGCAAAACAATTTTCTAAGCAATTTTCCATAGTGTTTTTTTCTTTTGTTATAACGAATTAATTTTTGATTTAAAGTGCCCCCCCCCATGTGTAGATCCACCCTATGAGCAGTGTAGATCCACCCTAGAGCAGTGGGGCAAGTAGATCAGCTGATGGGTCAAATAAGGATAGAGGCTAGCAAGAGGCCATCCCCTCCTCCATCATGTCACTGTAAACACCTTATTGGCAGAATTCCAGATCTGGGAGAGAGAAGGCAGGGTGCCAAAACTTAAGCATGTGGGGACACACACATGTCTGTTTTGGAAACTGCCCCTTCCTATGGGAACATCTGGTTTTGAAGAGAACGGCTACAGTTAGAAAGGTTGTTTTAATCTAATGGGCCAACTGGCAGATATTTCTAGGCCAGATTTCGCTCACAGCCCGTCAGTTCCTGACCACTGCTTTGCTGATCTGCCTATCTCACTACTACTATTTGTCATTTGCAGACTGTGCTAGATGCTGCACAGAACCTAGAACAGATGTCACCCCTACGTAGAAGGACTTAAAGGAAGATGGAAGTTACTTTAGGCATGAAAAACCGCAGAGAGACAGAAAGGGGTAAACAGAGACTAAGGAGGTTATTCTCAGACGGAGGCTCTGCGTCATCTTACCAATTAACAGCTTGGGACTAGTTTACTTGAGCGATCGAGCTTGCACTTTCACAAGTGCCAAATAATCTGCATTCCGTACTTATGATAAAGCAATCTCTAAGTGTGTAGCACCTGCAGTTTTACAGTTTCAGCACCAGCAAGTCCATCCCAACACGTAAGCCCATTGTCTATAGTTGCTTTCAAATTCTGTTGATTTTTATCTGTATTTTATGGATAACTATCCTCTTTTATGTGCACTGCTTAGAGATTGATTTTTTTTAAAATAAGTGGTTCATAAGTCATCTTAGATAGATAGATAAATCTTACCAACGATGGTGAGGGTCAGCAGCAGGTTTCGCATCAGCCACCCACAGTATTTATCCAGGCAAGGTTTTGGCAGCGCTTCCAAGCTGATGTGGGGCCCATCCGCCATGGGGACCTCCACATGGTTAGTCATTTCCGGGGCAACTCCCAAAGCCCCTTGTTTCGTCTCAAGAAGAGAGGGGAGAGAGGGGAGAAAACAAAAGGTTAATTTGGATGGAAACAAAACTCTGTTTTTCCACTTCAGAACAGAGAGGGGCTGGGGCACAGGCCAATCTTGAGGGCACCCCCTTTGACCCAGATGACAACAACAACAAAAATTAATAGATGAACCAGGTAGATTAATCAATTAGCAAGACTTTTAATTTACTAAAAATGTGCCCCTGTTTAATCAGGCAGCATATTTTTTATTTTAAAAATGCACTATTTTTTAATACAATTACTTAACAATAACAGCAGGCCTCTTCCTTTTTTTCACAGGTAGGAGGGAAAGCCTCTACAACAGAAGAGCATACATAGAGATGGTTCCATATTCCCATCCTACTGAAAGCAGGCCCATTTAAGTCAATGGGACTACTCTGAGTATGTTGGGAATCTAGATCTGACCTGTTATCTGAAAACAAAGTATGTTTTTTTGCTTCAGAAGTATTTTTCCTCCCATATACAAATGCATGTGAATTTAATTGACTGGCTAACGGATTAATCTAATTAAATATAAGATTAACTGAGATTTATTTAATCAGGGGAGAGAGAAATGACAATAACAACAATAATAATGGGGTTTCTCCTATGTGGTGCATTTCAAGATTTCAAAACACTTCACAAACATTGGCTCAGGCAATGAACTGGGTTTGCTGCTGGCAGCCCTGGAGCCAAAAATGGCCTCTTGAGAGGGCCAGCTAGTCCATCAGTTGCCAACTTGACTTGGTTTCTTCGCCCATTGCCAGAAATAGACTTCTAAGGAATGAGAATGAGGGAGGTGCTCAGGGTGAGTTCTGGTATCTCTTATCCTAGAATAATAGCACTGGCTGTCCCCTTAAGGCCAACGTGACCCACCCGATTCCCCTCTCTCTTCCCGGGTGACTAGGGGAAACCCAGCCTGAGGCCTGTGTTAAGAACCCTGCTTGTGAGCTGTATGGAACGACACAACCTACACCTTTGAGGAGCCTGACTCAATAGCAAAGTTCAGCAGGCAGCCTACTTGGCAGGAGTATGGTCCTATAAGGGGATAAATTTGGCCCGACTGCCCTCCATCACTTCCTCAATACACCCTCCCTTAAAGGAACCCTCTTTTTGTTCTCCGTCCAAATGGAATAAATGCTGAGATACTACTGGGTGGTTGGCTAGAAAGGTCTTCCTTGAGACTGCCCTGATTTTGATTGCGGGACAATCCTTCTGCTCGAGCGAGGGGTCAAGAAGAATATTTGGCACCGTCTAGCTGGGAAGCGAAGAACTAGCCGGGAATGGGACAGACAATCTGGGCCCCGACTGATGAGCCTTCCTGCCGTTAATCAGCTAGGGGATAATCAAATGGACGTATTGGATTTTGGTCACGGCATCCGACCAGATCACGAAACTCCGTCCCCGTTAAGTGAGTGGGCGTGATCCGCTCTGCAGATTTAAACTGGCTTAACGGTTTTATTGGTTCCTGTGTGAGTCACTGATACAGGCACCATAGGACCAGGCCATTCCTTCTTCTCAAGTAGTTCTCTTGGCTGCCCCCCCCATCACATTTCCTGTTATAGTCACAATAATTCTGGAACACAATCTCAGGCGCAACAAGTAAGGTGAAGGTGTCGGAACAGGTTTGGTGTGCCGGCCATGGAAAATCAGGCACAAAACAGCACAGGTCAGCAACTAGGCACAGATGCAATGCCAGCTGATTCAAGCCTAGAAGGGTTAGGAACAGCAGTGGCAGAGGAAGTCTCTTGGGCACCTGGGGTTGTGTGCCCAGGGGCGGGGTGAACTGCCCATAGGGGCTAGGGACAGGGCGTGCCACATGGTGCCCATAGTGGGTAGGGATGGGGCGGGGCTAGCACCCCCACTTGCTCTGCCTCTGAGTATAAGATGTCTTATACTGAGTCAGACCATTGGTCCATCAAGTTTAGTACGGCCTACACTGACTGGCAGAGGCTCTCCAGGATTCAGGGCACGGTTCTCTCTCAGCCCTACCTGGAAATGCCAGGGATGCTACCTGGGACCTTTAGCTGGTGCTGTAAAACTGAGCTACGTTCCTCGTGGGCCAGGAAAATTAGAGTTGGTCTAATCCAATTCAGTCTCATGGACTGCAAGAAGACCAAACCTCTCCATTCTTAAGGAAATTGGCCCTGAGTGCTCACTGGAAGGACAGATCGTGAAGCTGAGGCTCCAATACTTTGGCCACCTCATGAGAAGAGAAGACTCCCTGGAAAAGACCCTGATGTTGGGAAAGATGGAGGGCAGAAGGAGAAGGGGACGACAAAGGACGAGATGGTTGGATAGTGTTCTCGAAGCTACCAGCATGAGTTTGACCAAACTGCGGGAGGCAGTGGAAGACAAGTGCCTGGCGTGCTCTGGTCCATGGGGTCATGAAGAGTCAGACACGACTAAGCGACTAAACAACAACAATCCAATACAGCACTGCTTATGATTTTATGTGTTCCATGCATAAATCCCCATGTCAGTCATTAAGGCAGATTTGGGGGTTCAGAAACATACAGGTTTCTTCCATGGCAGCCGCCAGTTCTGCGCAAACGGACCTACAGGACTTTCAGAAGGTCAGAGTGTGGCTGCAAATGAAAAAGCACTTCATACCAGGGAACTGGTTCCCTGCGGTGAGATGGCACCAGGAAGTCCTCTTAACCTGGACTTGGCAGGACACGCAAGCGGAAGCGTCTGCCGTCAGCTGCCTCCCTGTCCATTTTGCATGCTCTAGGCAAAGTCAGAACAGTTCTGCTTTTGGGAAGAAGGGAAACTTCTAGAGACCCGGAAGGCGGGGCGGAAATGGCAGTGCTAGCAATTCACATCAACAGGAGTTTAACAAGGCATCCTACAAAGGCAAAACAACAGGAAATAGGGCAGCGGTCAGGGACAGGTATCAAAAAAATAGGGGCCTCCTTCTTTCTGGAGGTTGCTTGGACACCTTTCCAGTGAGAAGAGGTTTGTCAGACCAGGTGAGAGGGAGCTGTGTCTCGAAGCACATTTTGGACATACAGGAAGCAGGAAGCGTCAAAACAAACAAAATCAAGCACTAGTTTTCTTTTCTCCTGTGAGATTTCTCTGTTTGCTAAAGACAATTCCCTCTTCCCTCCATTCGATAAAAATTACACTATGCAGAGGGAGCTTCTTTTCGTTGACTCATGCGTTTCCCAGGAAGCTGTGGTTTTCCGTCTCTCCTACAACTCCCAGGATTCTTCGGAGGATGCTGTGACCATTCTCTTAGCATGAAACCAGATATAAATTTGTAATGGTGAGCAGATCAATAAACCCAGTGGTGTAAAGGTCATTTGCAGAGGAGAAACAGATCCCTGCCCCGCATGACAAGCAATGCCATCTGTGCAAAGATATAGACATAGGCCCCAATCTAGCGCCAGCTGTACATGAGTGACTCTGAGTTGCGGGCGTATACCTGTGTTAAGGGACGCGGGTGGCGCTGTGGGTTAAACCACAGAGCCTAGGACTTGCTGATCAGAAGGTCGGCAGTTCGAATCCCCGCAACGGGGTAGATCCCATTGCTCGGTCCATGCTCCTGCCAACCTAGCAGTTCAAAAGCACATCAAAAGTGCAAGTAGATAAATAGGTACCGCTCCGGCGGGAAGGTAAATGGCATTTCCGTGTGCTGCTCTGGTTCGCCAGAAGCGGCTTAGTCATGGTGGCCACATGACCCGGAAGCTGTACGCCGGCTCCCTTGGCCAATAAAGCGAGATGAGCACCGCAACCCCAGAGTCGGCCACGACTGCACCTAATGGTCAGGGGTCCCTTTACCTTTACTATCTGTGTTAAAGATGAATCTGGCCAGTTCGGTGGGGATAGAGTGAGCACTGGGACATGGATGCAAATTATTAAAGGAAGGATTGGCATATCACACAATGCAAGGAGATGGTGCAGAGAATTATGGGTCCAAACTCTAGGGATGAATCTGTCAATTAAGGTTTCTCTCTACAGTCATACCTCGGGTTACGAACGCTGTGGGTTGTGCGTTTTCGGGTTGCAGACTGCGCTGAACCCGGAAGTACTGGAACGGGTTACTTCCGGGTTTCGGCACTCGTGTAGAAACACAAAATGACGTCACGCACATGCGCAGAAGTGCTGAATCGCGTCACGCGCGTGCGCAGATGCAGCACTTCAGGCTGCAAACGCTGTGGTTTGTGAACACGCCTTCCGCACGGGTCATGTTCGCAATCCGAGGTATGGTTGTATTTCTAATGTTTTCCAATCTGAAGTTCAGTTCTCCACATTTCCACATCAGTCTGACTTTTTTTAAAACCCCAACAACTCTTCATGAAAACCCACCAGCATTTTAGTGCGAATTGCTCCTAATATATGCATTTTTATTGCAATTTTGACTAATATACAAATATTTGCAAAACAAGTTGCCCCCACATCATGCATGTTTGTGTGTTAATTTCACAAGTATATGTATCTATATGCATCCCACAATATACTTGGCTGGAGACCTGCATTGCAAAATTCAGAGAAGTGCGAATTTCAAAGGCTGGCTAAGTTTCGGTTTGCACACTGTTTCAGAAAGTGTGAATGAGGTAGGTTTCCTTAAATAAATGTGAAGTGAATCAAATTTATCCCCTATCACTGGTCCACACATACATTTCCCCCTTTTGCATTTTGTTTGAAATTCTCCTCTCCACTTCTTCTATTGACCAGCAGCTGGCTCCCATACGTCGAATCTCCTAATCCATATTAACTTGCAGGATTTGGAACCTCTGGGTGGTTCAACCATTTCAGTCATGAGAATAAATATAGAAAAGGGACACATGCAAAAATTCATCCTTCTCCTCTTAATTAAGTCACAGGTTCCTTTCCAACGAGGGGACGGTGGAACCATTTAAAAAGTTTTTTTTTTGTTTTTTTAAGGATACAATCAGGTTTAGATTAAACCAAGAAAAGACAAGGATTCTACACTTCTACTGAGCAAGCCAATGCAGGATCAGAGGCAAAATCTCATAGAAGTGAAACCCCCCCCCCCCGCCCCCAGCCATTTCCCAATACACACACACACACACACACACACACACACACACACACCTTTTCTGGCAAAACTTGGCAAATTTTGAGTTGAAATGAGAAAGCAGATGCAACAATATTTTGCTTTTTAAATATTTTGTTGGAAGCTGCCCATAGTGGCTGGGGAAACCCAGCCAGATGGGCAGGGTATTATTATTATTATTATTATTATTATTATTATTAATAATAATAATATATCAACATCATCATATTTGATTGATGCAAGTGTATGCAAGAGTTTGTGTCTCACAGGATTCTTCTTCAGGCAGTCCTGATGAAGACAAAGTGTCCCGTGGAACTCAAAAGCTTGTACCATGCTACAGCACCATGCAATAAAAAGATACAATTTCATCTGCTTTCTAGCTCCTATATTTTGGGATCACCATACTACCAAAGACACTTACGAAAGCATTAACCCCTTAAATGTAAAAAAACCTCTATGTCCTCCCATGTTCATACAGAGTACATACAGAAATGACCCCAACTCATATTTTAGTAGCCAGTACTCGATTAGACTCAGGATTCCCCAGAGAGAGAGAAAAGGCCAACATTTTTTTTTGCCCCCACCCCGTCATTTCTCAGAGACCCTCCATTTCTAAGTTGTACAAGGGTTGCCAAATTCTTTTAGCTGCCCCTGCTCCTGTGCCTTTAACATTCAGCAAGTACTGGTAAGTAAGTGAAGCTTTCTCTTTATGCCTGTGTTCAACACAGCGGCAGGACCTGCTTAGGAAGGCACCAGTTCTACACTGGAAGCACTGTAATTTAGAATTTAACACACATAAATTCTCCACTGCCACTTCAGAAATGCTGGATTATACCCCCCCCCCAAGACTACCCATTTCCCAACTCTCTTCTGGGATGAGTTTATCACAGAACAGAGGGCAGCTCCCTCTAGAGGGGAAATCTCCCCATGACCTTTTGTCTAATTCCCCCCCCCCCCCGTTGTCCAAAAGAGCCCTTGAAGAGGCTGGGCAAAATCTACCCCCTAATCTCTGCTTCCCTGCACCCCTTCTTGTCCCCTGCCCCCCCATTTCCCCTGCCTCCCTTGCTCCTTACCCCACGTAGGGAGGGGGGGACGGTGCGTCTCGGCAGGAGGCGAAGGGGGATCTGAAGACGGCGGGCGGCAAAGGGGGAGACTCTGGTGGCTTAGTGCCCCCGTCACTCGACGACGTCAAAGAACAAGTGTGGTCAGGGAAGGGGGGGGGAGTAAAGAAAGATTACGAACAGAAAAAGGAGCAGAGCTATGCAAAGGACAGGAAAAATGGACATGAGGATAATACCCCTAACTGGGGGCTGAGCAGACAGCGCTGTTTAATCAGCGGCCTTTAAAAAGGGGGGGGGCAGGGAGAGTCAGGGAGGTGGCAGGTCGGGGTAGGCACTCACAATGAAGAATTTATTTTATGAAATACAGACTTGGTCCTACTGCAGTTTTGCAGGCAATGTGGGGTTTTTTTTGAAGGGTGTGTGTGTTCTGTTAGCAAATGCCATCTGTCCCACAGAGAGAGACTTAGTGTCATTCAAACCACTGATGTTTTGTTGTCTTAACTCACCTTGAACTGCTTGCCGCATCAGTAACTTGATTTCGTTTTTAAGATGTAGGTATTGTTACCTCCTTGAAGACAGATCATTGCTTGTAATAGGGCAGAGAATCTTGGGCCGGCCCCACATGTTAATAGAAGTTAAACTGATGACCAGCGTAAAAAAATAAAAAGGGGGGGGGAAGCTTTAGAGTTACACAGTACCTCAGACAGAATGGAAAAGTCACCGATGTTCAGAGCAAGGGAGAGAATATGGTGGAACTGTTTTACTAACAGTACTACACTGGTAAACGCAGAACATATATTTAATGCTGATGAAGGCTCTGCAAAGGGACTTTCTCCAAGGAATACAGGAAAGTTGCAAACCATTCTAGAAGCATGGGCACCTATAACCCCATATTCCCAAGTCCTTTCTTCTTCTTTTTTTCAAAGGGGAAGGTTTAGAGCATTTATAAAACCTGATATATAAGGCAAAATGTGCAGGCGCATTTGTGTGAGTCCCCCCACGCTTCAGCATTTGCTTTTAAATAAAGATATGCCAGCCTCACCCAACAGCCCTGTGAGGTAGGCAGGCAGCTAGGCAAGTAGGTAGGCTAGGCTGAGAGACAGCGGCAGAGAGAGTGACTGGCCCAGCGCCTCTCAGTGAGCTTATGGCCAAGTGGGCTTTGAACCCTAGCCCTACATCTGACCCTCTGGGCCTGCTCAATACAGTGGTACCTCGGGTTACAGATGCTTCAGGTTACAGACTCTGCTAACCCAGAAATAGTACCTCGGGTTAAGAACTTTGCTTCAGGAGGAGAACAGAAATCGTGTGGCGGCAGCAGGAGGCTCCATTAGCTAAAGTGGTACTTCAGGTTAAGAACAGTTTCAGGTTAAGAACGGACCTCCAGAACGAATGAAGTTCTTAACCCGAGGTACCACTGTATGGGCGTTTGCCCCACAGGAAGCTGCAGTCTGGGCACGGGGAATTTGTGGGCCTCCAGATATGGTCCCAGCTCCCATCAGTCCCTCCCTGGTAACATGGCGAAAGGTCGTGGATGATGGAAGCGACTTCTGGAGGGCCACAGGCTCATGTAGAGCTCCTTCTTCTGCAGATCCATCTGGTGCCCAATTCATGTTTTCCCCTCTTCCCTCCCCATCCTTTTTACCTTGCATGTCGTGGGGCAGGGACTCCACTCTGGGAGCCTTTTTTTTGGCTGAAGAGCTGGGTACGAAAGCTCAGAATAAATAAATAATACCAGTATGGCACAATTGAGGCCTACTCACACGCAACAGCTGCCGGTGGCCTTTAACTGGGGAACCCTCTCGCCTTTGGGGCGGTTTGGTCATCTACGTCACAACAAAAGAGAAAAAGTTACTGCTCTCTGGCAGAGAGGACGGGGCTGAGGTGATTGCTGCCCATAGCGGGAGCAAGCAGTTTTTCCTCTTTAGAGAGAACTCTCCCTTCACTCACGCAGATTCCAGAGGTGAAATCTCCAACAGCAAAAATAAATATAGATATAAAATATAAATATATAGCCTTGGTGGCCCTCCACAAAGTCTCACAGATTTATCGTGGTGCCAGGTTTAAATGGGGCAAGAGCTCACTTCATCAGGGATGATATTCTCCATGCATTTCCTGAAGCTGGTCCACAAAAGCTTATGCTAAAATAAACCTTTGAAGGGCGAGAAGACTTTATTGTTCAAGTGAGGTAAAGCCATGTAAGCCTAGAGGTTCCTGCTCCAGGTTCCTGCTCCACCTATATCAGTGACCCTCTGGCCACCATTTTAAATTTCCCCCATGAGCCTGAGCGACGCTACATTAAGAACTCTGTGGTACTTTGTGAGGAATTCAAAAAGGCCAGCTGCCCTTCCCTGAGCAGGCTAGGTAAATGATACGTTCACATGGCTACTAAACATTTTTGTTTATTTGTATTTTATTTTTATTTATACAAAATAATATATGTACATATATATATTAAAAAACAACAACAACTGTCCATGTCTTTCTCCTCTCGTGCTTCTCAATATAAAAATGGCGGTGCAGCAACACCCAGTGGCAGAATCCGGAACTGATGCCCACACAGCTCCTCCTTAGAGGGATACTGCAGATGAGTCTCTCTCCCCACTGCCTGTCTCCCCCCAATAGCTAGGGAAGTCCAGTCCTCCAGGGAGAAAACAGTGGGAGCATGTGCTGCTGTTGATGGTGTGTGAGCAAAAGGATGCCGTCCCATTCACTGTGGAGGGGGCCATTCATGCCTGAAGATGCTGCGGGAGGAAGATAAGATGACAATAAAAAAACATTGGTTGGGGCCTGGGCAGAAGAGAAGCCAGGAGTGAGGAGGTTGCAAAAAAACCACAAATCATTTGGTCATTTTGCAATATTCCCCACTAGGTAAGACCCTGAAGCTTGCCCTGGAGTCTAATTCTCACTCAGGTGGCTGTAAACGTTTGGCAGGCAAGTAACATTTCAGAGTTCAAGCGTAGAGTTTATGTAATTGGTTGTTCCTCCGTAGGAATGGATGAAATCTGTCCATTTGGGGGCTTTTTCTCAGTTTCTCATTTTTCTAAACTTACGTTCAGTTCACCGCATATCCTCATCGGTTTACAGTTTCATTAAAAAAATAATTTAAAAGTCCTCGTGAAAACTCACCGGCATTTTAGTGCAAATTTAATCTTTGTATGTGATTTTATCGAATGTACGTTTTTGCAAAGCAATTTCCCCCAAAATAAATTATTTTTCGAGAGATTTATTACTATGCGCCTTTTGCCACAGAAATACAGAAATACAGGGAAGTCTTACCCTTACCTTTATTCCCCAAAGGTGCTCTGAAGGCTCAAACGGGCGTTTCCTGGAACCTTTGGAGCCTCTGGGGGATGAAATATGGAGCTATGATTACATCTCAAATTGACGGGTGTGGGTGGAGGAGATAATAGTACTGCTGGTGATGGTGGAGCCAATGTCACACCTAGTGTTGAAAGGTGAGGGTTGGGCCCATGCGAGAGTGACAGGATTCTGTGGTTACCTATCCTGGGATGATTGATCAAAGGCAGGGATGCTGTGTGGGTCGTCCCCCCCCCCATGCGACTCTAGCCTAGATAAAACTGCATTATTAAAACTACCCCCAAATTATCTTTGTCTGAGAAGAGGTAAACTCTCAAAAGGGGCATGTGATTATTGTTAAGTCTGGGAAACACTGCATTTTTGTATGTTATTTTCACCAATATATGCATTTTTAGGGATGGTTTACCCCAGTGTATGGATTTTCGTACACATTTGCTGGGCCGGAGAATTGCAAAATTTGGGGAATCGCAAAAATCAGAGGACGGCCATGTTTGGGTTCTCAGATTGCTTCAGAAACAACGAATCGAATAGGTTTGCCTTTAAAGACAAACTGAATCGGAACACCCCCAGTCCTTACCTAGGACAGTATTTCCCAACCTCGGGCCCTTTAGAAACTTGGGATTGCAATTCCCACCAGATCCTTGTCAGCCATGGCTCAGTGAGTGCCCAGAATATAATATCCCAGAGCTTTTTGAAAAGGCTTCTTGCTTACCTGAAATAGGTTCCTTAATGGACGTGTCATGATGAGTAGAAAGCAGGAAATGGGAATGAGAAGCAGAAGTAGAAATGGTCCCCAGTGAGATCTCTGAAGTGGGGTTTGCTCAGGCGAGTGGACTGTATCATTGGTCTGTGTAACGTTTTCGGTAAAAGAGTCTGCAGTACAGAGAGAGACTGACCTATAGGGGCAGATTGAATGCCTGGTAACAAGCGAGGGGCAGAGAGCGGATAATATTGAGAGGATACCCCCAGAGTCTTGCTGAACCACCTTTTTATGACAACAGATGCAGAATATTGCATTGGTTTCACAAGAAGCCGATGGTGGCCTGACATCAGGTGATTGGCACCACAATATTTTGTTTTGTTTTTTAAGGGGAGAGAGAGAAAAACGGGGAGAAAGTCAATGGGGAGAAGAAGAAGAAGATGAAGAAGAGTTTGGATTTGATATCCCGCCTTTCACTCCCCTTCAGGAGTCTCAAAGCGGCTAACATTCTCCTTTCCCTTCCTCCCCCACAACAAACACTCTGTGAGGTGAGTGGGGCTGAGAGACTTCAGAGAAGTGTGACTGGCCCAAGGTCACCCAGCAGCTGCATGTGGAGGAGCGGAGACGCGAACCCAGTTCCCCAGATTACGAGACTACCGCTCTTAACCACTACACCACACCTGGCTCAAGGAGAAAGAGTGAGAGCATCTCTACACCACAAATTATTAAACAATGGTCCACTGGTTTAATTGTCATGGACTCCCCCACCCGAAGCAATAATGGGAATTGTAGTTTATTGCAGGTGCTGAGAACACTGCTCAGGGCGTCTAAATTCTCCCTCTGCAAAACTAAAACTCCCATGATTTCTTGGGGGAGAGATAAACTAGTATGGGTCCTCAAGTGTAGATATGCCTTGGGAAAGACAGGAAAAAAAGGGTGGGGGGAAGAGACAGGAGAAAGAGATAAAATTGTAAACCACTTGAGAGGTTTTGATACAAACCAGAGGTATATAAAGTTTGTTCAATAAATAAAGTGGGCCCTGTGGTAAAAACTAGGGTTTCATGCAGTCCTGGGGCTGCAAAAGTTGGTGACACTGACAGCTGGGTGTGAGCTGTAAGTTGGGAAGTCCTGAGTTCAAATCAGACCACAACCACATACTCACTCAGTAGGCTTAGGCAACTGACTTTTCTCTCTGCCTCAGTTCCCCCTTACTGCAAGCTGGGCATTCAGGTTTGAGCAGCTTCAGGTTTGAGGGGCTCCCTGGCAAAATGCCCTCTGCTAGGCCTCCGCCCTTGAGCTTGCTTGCCAACAGCTGCGAGTTGCCATTTTAAACTTCCCACAATGCCCCTGAAGTCATGTTGGTCTGGGGAATTCTGGGAAATTACAGTGGCAGCCGCAGTGAGGCCACCAAGGGCAGCTATTTAAATTTACCCAGAGTGGCGCAGTATGTCAAGGACCTATTGCGACCAGGTGGGCCTAGAAGTTGAGGGGGGGCAGAAGTGTTGACGTTGGGCCTGGTTGTCATGGCTACTGGGATAATGTTTGTGAAGCATTCTGAAATCTCCAAAGCACTGTATGGATGCTAGGTATTATTTCTGGTGGAAACGAACCTCCAGAGCATACATGCAGCCACTCAGTAGGCAAAGCATTTGTATTCTGCCAAGATAGCGAGGCGACTTTCGCTCGTTTTCTCTGCCTCCCCATATTGTTGACACTGGGGTGAAACCATCCTCTTTGATCAGCTCACCACATACAGTTTCATACACACCATGGCAAGTTGTTCACCCAGTGGAGAACAGGAGCGGCTGGGGCAGTGGGGCAGGGTTGCAAAGCCACCTTCCTAACACTGTCATCACTGCCACTGACTGGGTTGGGGTGTAGGAAGGTGATGGGGAGCTCAGGGCTGTGTGGGCACAGATTGGCTCTGCTCCAAGTTTGCCACCCCCCTGCCATGCCAGTGAACCACCTTGATAAGCAGCAGCGACACCAGTTTTATGAGGGCAGCTCCATGGCATTGCCCCACTGTGTTAGCCCCCCATGGCAGAAATGTATCCCCCTCTGTATCTCCACAGCCTTGCTCCCCCACATCCTGACCACCTGGAATGTTACCTGGTTGGCACTGAATAATGGTGCAATTACTGTAGTCGGCAGACTCTTTCAGTTCAATGAGTTTCTCCATCTTGTCTGCCAGGTTTCCAATGTGGTAAGGAACCGGATTCAAGAACTGAGTGATGTTTGTCCCCACAAAACGGACACAACTATCCTGTTAAGGCACAAGAGAAAAAAGTCAAGCCCAGCAGCTTCGTCCTGATGTATAGTGAGCCCACAAGCCATGCCACCACACCTTAGGAACTGGGGCCAAATTACACGTGACGTTGCGGCACTTAAATGAGGCTACTTCTGTTTTGAAGACAAAACAGCCGCAGGCCCCTACTCTGGATCAGGGCCTTGTGGAAGTTTCCTGCTGAAAATCACCCTCTTCCTCAGCTGTTCTTTACTCCCATTGATGCTGCTGACTGCAGGCATTAACTCTGGAGCCAAATAGGTTAAAAAAGTTTGAATTAGGTAGGTTTTAAAGAAAATGCAAGCAAGACTGGATTTCTCCATTGACCTTAGGGGCCCATGGCTGCGTATCAGCTTGTCTTTTGCTTTGGAAGGTAAGTTCACCTTTCAATGTGAACTGAATTGAAATTCTTCTCCATTCCTACCTGGCATGAGCAGGGGCCTGGCTTAATCTGGAGGGAGGAGCACCTCGAGGTATTTCATTCTGATCCAAATTGTAACTTAATTATTTTTAAATATCCTTAACAAATACAAATAATTGCTAGCGTTTAGGACTGGTCAGGTTCAAAGCAGATATTAGATGAATAAATAAGAGGGGGGGGGATGACCTGTGCTGCCTTCCAAAGCACCCATGACCTACCTCAATGTTACATCCTTTAATAAAGGAGACTATGTGAGTTGTTATATTGAAGAACATTCGCTCCAGCATTATCCCGGATACGCTGGCCAGATGCTTCAGCTTTTTGTTTATGAGATGAACTTCCCATACTTCCTGGCAGAATCCATCCTGGGGGAAATTATGGGGGGGGGGATATAAGGAAGGAATGCATGATTAGGAAAAAGTCAGGGGTGTATTCTTTTTCGAAACCACTAAGAACATACAAAGCTGCCATAGGGCTCATCCAAACTTACTTTTTGACCCACATTTTCCAGGCTCAGATCCACACTTTAAAGCTCTGTGTCCAAGCACTCCTTTTTTTTTTTTGATCCAGACATTTCCCTGTGAAAACCTGCTCTTTGAAGCAGAAGCACAACAAACAGCAATTCAGGTTCCGCCCACCCCCAATTGCTGTTTGCTCCAATTCAGCTATAAAGAGCAGGGGGTTCTTTTTCCAAGGAAAGCTCCGGAGTGGGGTGGGTGGGAAAGGGCACCTGGATACAGAGTTTTAAAGCATAGACCATTTCCTGGAAAGCACAGAGAAAAGGTAAGTGTAAAGGTAAAGGTAAAGGTACCCCTGCCCGTACAGGCCAGTCGTGACCGACTCTGGGGTTGCGTGCTCATCTCGCTTAAGAGGCCGGGAGCCAGCGCTGTCCGAAGACACTTCCGGGTCACGTGGCCAGCGTGACGAAGCTGCTCTGGCGAGCCAGCACCAGCGCATCGCACGGAATCGCCGTTTACCTTTCCGCTATAAAGCGGTACCTATTTATCTACTTGCACTTAGGGGTGCTTTTGAACTGCTAGGTGGGCAGGAGCTGGGACTGAACGACAGGAGCTCACCCCGCCGCGGGGATTCGCTGGCCATACGATTGGCAAGTCCTAGGCACTGAGGTTTTACCCACAGCGCCACCCGCGTAGATAAGCCTTTATAGTGAGTCAGACTTTTGGTCTATCTAACTCAGAATTGCCCACACAGGCTGGCAGCAGCACAATTGACATAAGAGGAATTGTCTTTCAAATCCTTCCACTCCTGGTGGAACTTCTGCTTTTTGTAAAAGGAGAGGCATCCACATTTTCGTCTCCATGCAAAAATTCGCCCCTGAATCATAATAATTGCAACTGATCAGCCCTTTCAAGTAACATAACAACACCATGGTAGGTAACATATGTCTAGTTGTTTCCTTAGTTAACAGGTTGTTTTTTAAGACTTTACCGGTTTCAGGTTGGATGGCATATCTACTGGGTAATTGAGGAGCAGGTACTGCTTCTGAGGAGAGAAAGAGAGAAAGAGGGTTGAATGAGGGGAGAGGATGGATTAAAGAGCAAGAAAAGTCTATCCATGAAATGTTTTTAAATAGGCTTTAAAGGTCCCTCTAGGTCAGAGGTTGGCAACCTAAGGCCCATGGGCTGGTTCTGGCCCATGAGCTTCCTGGAACCAGCCCACGGCCGTTCCGTGGATCGGCGTGGGGCTTCCATGCTTTTTTCCATGGCGCCATTATTTTTCTCACTGCAGGGATCAACTTCCGGAAATAGCGTGTGCGCATGCGCATGGGTGCTCCTCAGAGGAGCGCCCACGTGTATGCACACGCTATTTCCGGCGCTCTTCTGACGCAGAAGAGCACTGGAAATAGCTTGAGCGCATGCAGTGGCGTAGCGTGGGTTGTCAGAACCCGGGGCAAGGCAAGTAATTTGTGCCCCCTAACCCGTGGATTTTAGCACTCAGGCAGAGAGCTGCGAGTGCGAGCGCGCCCCCCCCCGATGTTGTGCCCGGTGCGGCCGGCCCCCCCTGCACCCCCCACGCTATGCCACTGAGCGCATGCACAGGTGAGCATGCTCTGGCCCAATGAGAGGTCTGCCAGGGAGTGGACTGGACCGGCCTCAGAAAACGTTGCCAACCCATGATCTACGTTTATCTAGATGAGCCTTCACCACCCTGGCACAATTCTCCATGTTTTGGACCACAACTCCCATGAGCGATGCAGTGTTGCATTTCTACCTGCAGGGCCAATTTCAGGTGGTAGCATGGGATGATTGGCTCAGCCCCTTGACAATTAAACTCTATGGTCCCTACAACACTTTATCACACCCCCAATGCTGTTCAACATCTATTTGAGGGAGGGTCATGGTGAGTTTGGGCACCTATTTTTCTAGAAAAATAGCACTGCGCTGATATAGTCTGCTCGAGGGCACACTCACCAGGTCTTTAATTTTAGATAAAAAAAGCTGAGTGTTGTTCGTTGACTCAAACGGAACATGTTGAAAGACGCAATTCTTGCTTGACTCACATTGGGTGAGAAACAGCAGCAGCAGAACAAAGACCTAGAAGGACAGGAAAAAATTCTTTGGCTTATATAGTAAGTGAAAGCTCAAAAGAACTCTCAAGCATCTCTCAGCTAGCATGCAATGAAGACCCAAACTTCCATATTCAGATATCTGAAGACCTGTCACATACATGACAGAGCAAATCTGTTACTTGCCTGGTCCTCTTTTAAAGCCATCCAAATCTTACCCTCCTTCCTTTACAGTAGAATGGGAATGTTGGCATTGGACTTTCCCGAGAGACAATGGAGTATGACTCCAGGGATGAAGTCAAACTAGCGGAGAATCATAGCACTTGCTGTGGCTGCAGAGCCCACCAAAGTGACTATTTCACCGTGCAAACCTAGGCAATGGAGTTCCTGGGCTGCCCAGATGACAAGACCCCCTCTCAGCCTCACTGACGTGGCCCAAAGGAAAGCAGAGCAATACGTTTGGCACCAGTTTGGCTGCAGGAGTTGCTGGAAGGAGGTGTACAGGGCACCATCCAACCGCCTTAGGGACTCCACTCTGAAAATTTGTGTAGGGCTTACTCCATAGCCTTTTCTTCTCCTGAAGATGTCTCGCAAGGCCAGGGGTATGGAGGGTTTACTCCCAAAACCATTCTCACGAATGACTGTAGCCACAATGCAGCGGAGGTTGAGAATCAGAGTTTTCCTTCTCCCAGATGAGCTACCTCCCCAGGTTGACAAGCCCCACCTGCTCCTCATTTCCCTCTGCAGCATGTCGTACTGCAACATTTCTTGCGGGTCCCAGTCGTATGTTGCTAATAGGTAAACTCTACAGCTCAGTGGAGACTGAAAAGGTGGTGGCGAGGAGAATGGAATAGCCAGGAAGAGGCTGATTGCGGAAACGTTCCCCCCGTCTGCAATCACGAGGACAAAAAAACCTTTTAAAAAAGGGAAATCTGTGTTGCTCAAAAAGGCAGTGAATGATAGAAAGGAAATTGCTTTCTGAGTAATTTGCTTTCTATCATTCATTGCCTTTTTGAGCAACGCAGATTTTGAGTGCTGGAAAGCATTGAACTAAGGCCACCTGGTTCTGGGGAGATAATGGTGATGCTATAAGGAGAGGTCCAAAGAACCTCCCTCTCCCTCTCCGGCCACCATTCCTGGACTAGTATACAGTGGTACCTCGGGTTAAGTACTTAATTTGTTCTGGAGGTCCGTTCTTAACCTGAAACTGTTCTTAACCTGAAGCACCACTTTAGCTAATGGGACCTCCTGCTGCCACTGCACCGCCGGAGCACAATTTCTGTTCTCATCCTGAAGCAAAGTTCTTAACCTGAAGCACTATATCTGGGTTAGCAGAGTCTGTAACCTGAAGCGTATGTAACCTGAAGTGGATGTAACCCGAGGTACCACTGTATCAGGAGAGGCTAAGGCCTCTTCCTTGATCCTGCCAATTGTTTTTGAAAACTTACCACAAAAGACTCTGGGGTTGCATGGCGCCAAATCATCTCCACATGGTCTGGTGGATGACCAACATGCTGAGGATTACCCCTCTAGAAAGGGGGGGAGCTGTGGCGATAAAAGAAAGAATGGTTAGGGGTTAAGAGGCCAAGGAAACATGGACTTGGGATGTAGCAAAACCAGCATTTACCAATGTGGGGCCTTCCAGATGTTTTGCACTACAACTTATGCAAAATAATAAAAAATACCTAACATCAGGGCTTCTTTTGAGCTGGAACTCTCCAGAACTCGCCATTATAAGGGAACAAGGGAGGCACTCAGGGTGAGTTCCGGCAGCTCTTTTTCTAGAAAAATAGCACTGGTTCACATGAAACACTGTTTATTCATTTATTCATTGCATTTATCTTCCAAGGATCTCAAGGTGGTGAACATGGTTCTTCTCCTCCCCATTTCATCCTCACAACAACCCTGTGAGGTAGGCTAGGCTATGAGATGGTGACTGGCCCAAGGTCACCCAGCTGAGTGGGGATTCGAACTCTGCTCTCCAGGGTCCTAGTCCAACGCTCTTACCATTACGCCACACTACGCATAATGATTCTTCAGCCATCCACCATTAGACCAGTAGTGGGGGATTTCAACATCCAAGTAGGGGCCAACTTGATGGAGCAGCCTGGGGCATCAGAGCCTCCATCACATCCATGGGGCTGTCTCTGTTGCAGTTCCCGTGTGTGTGTAATTCCACAGGTTACGGAGTCAGCGCTGCGTGGCTGTATCTGTGTGGGAGAAAGGCCGGCTGGAGGACCTGCCTGCGGGCAGTGGAACTCGCTGGTGAAGGAGGAACTCGCTGGTGAAGGACGCCTCTTCAGGACCAGGTGCCAGGAGCTACTAAGCGTGAGTAGGCTAAGCCCTGGGGGAGAAGATGGCGGAAGTCCAGGAGTCCTACACCGTCCCATTTGAGGCTCAATGGAGGACTGGTCCCGAAGCATGTTGCTCTGGTCACAGTTTTATTGTTTTACAGCAGCAATTACAATCAGCAGCCAATTAATCGGCTGCTGATTAATTGCTGTTGTAAAATAAACGCTTCTTAGATTAGGAAATAAGCTGCGTACAGAGACTTTTCTGCATGCTTGAGTAATCTCTGTTAAGTTGTGGGTGAACATATCAGACGACACAGCGATTCTTCAAACAGCTCTTGTTTATTCACAGGCCAGAGCAGAACTGAGCTGAAGGGTTCAGGCAGCCTGCTTATACAGTGGTGCCCCGCAAGACGAATGCCTCGCAAGACGAAAAACCCGCTAGACGAAAGGGTTTTCCGTTTTTCGATGCGCTTCGCAAGACGATTTTCCCTATGGGCTTGCTTCGCAAAACGGAAACGTCTTGCGAGTCTTGCGATTTTTTTCGCTCCCCCCTTTTTTTAAGCCGCTAAGCCGCTAATAGCCTTTTAGCCGCTAAGCCGCTAAGCCTTTAATAGCCGCTAAGCCGCTAATAGCGCTAATCCGCTAATAGGGTTGCTTCGCAAGACGAAAAAACCGCTAGACAAAGAGACTCGTGGAATGGATTATTTTCATCTTGTGAGGCACCACTGTATAGAGCTCCACTAGAACGCAACAGTAACTACACAGAACACAGACCGCTGTGCACAATCTCTGCTAAACGCTGGGACAACACTGAGTTGCAGTGGAAGCGTACCGGACGTTGAATTCCACAGTCTCAGCACAGCACCAGCCTGATGGATGTGACAGGCCACACTCCCAAGACAGTCTTTTCAAAAGGAGGGCTGGTTGGTGCGCTGACAGGTTTTTCTAACTCCCATTGTTGTGGATGAACCATTTCTTGGTGAGGTTTGGTTAGTCGGCAGCCCCTGGGAATTATGAGACCTGGCCCGTTAGGTTGCCCTGCCCCCAGAGACTTATGGAATCCACTGGATTCCTGAATGCTCTGGGGAATATTCTGACTGACATGGCGGACGCTCCTGTTGACGTAAAGCAGGCAAGACCATTATCAGAGTGCTGCCTCCACGGACGGAGACAGTATGGTCTTGAATGCCAGTTGCTGGGAACCGCAAGACAGTTATGTCTTGCCTGAGAGTTTCCCACAGGAATCTGGGTGGCCATTGTGAGAACAGGGTGCATTTATAAAGCTGAATCAATTTTGCAAATTTGCACAGAGCAACTTGCAAACTGGGAAACTGGGAAAAGTCACACCTGCCCGAATTTTGCCATGCAGTTGTCCAACCAAACAATGCTTGCGAAAACACATATATTAAGTGTGTATAACAATGAAGAAGTTTGTGGAAAATAACATACAAAATGTTATTATGTTAGGGGAAATAATTGCTTGCAAAAATTGCTGCAAAACGTGGAAAACTGAATTTAAGATTGGAAAAATGTGAAACTTGGGGACTGAAATTGGCAGAACCTTCCATCCGTGCTTCCAATGGAAAGAGCAAACCAAGGAGTAGCAGGTTTAATATTTAATGTGAACCGTAGCATTCTCCTACTTATTCTACTAAATAAACCACAATTGGGAACCGAAGCCTGGTGTCTGCGGTTTGTTTCTTGATTGTGGTTGGTTTCAGTGGCGTAGCGTGGGGGGTGCCAGGGGGGCCGGCCGCACCGGGCGCAACATTTGGGGGGGCGCGCTCGCTGCCTCCGGAGTCGCCGAAGAGCCTCGGGCGCAGGCTGTAGCGGAGCCGCATGTCTCGCGGCGCCCGGCTGAAGGCGCCCGGCAGGCAGCGGCTCTCAGCACTCGCCGCGGAGGACGCGCCAGGCAGCCCCTCCTCACAGCCCCGCCTCCGCCGGTGCTGCTGCTGCTGCTGGGCCGTTGCATTTTCCTCGCCTCTCTGCCCCCCTCCTCCTCCGGGCAAGCGGCGTCGTTTGGGCGGCAGCGCCAGCGGCAACTCACAGGTTAGGGGGGGCGCAAATTACTTGCCTTGCCCCGGGTTAGGGGGCGCAAATTACTTGCGTTGCCCCGGGTGCTGACAACTCACGCTACGCCGCTGGTTGGTTTAACAGCTTGTGCACACCTTAATTTCCGTAACCACAGTTAATTGCTCACATTAAGTCCAAGCCCTGCCAGTGTAACATCCTGTCCAACATGCATCTTCCAGGACTAAAATAGGGACTTACCAGCCAGGTAAGAAATTCTATATACGAGTAAGCAAACTGGAGCTTGTTTTCTCTTGCTCTGGAGGGTTGGACTCGAAGCAACAGCTTCAAGTCACAAGAAAGGAGATTCCGACTAAACATTCAGAAAAAACTTTCTGACACTAAGAGCTGTTTGACAGTGGAACAGGCAGCATTTGAAACTCCTGGTGTTCTAGGCGCGTTTTGCGACAGGGAATTCCATTAGCGCGAGCAGTTCCTGAGCTCTGGGCGCAGTACTGAGCCTAAGATTTCAGATTAAAACTGCCACGGCTAGAAGAAAAGGACCTTTTTATTATTGATGCACCATAAAATGTGTTCTTAATGTTGCAAACCGCCCTGCAATCTTTTGATAAAGGGCAGTATATAAATTGAATATAATAATGATGATGATGATGACGACGACGACAACAACAACAACAACAACAACAACAACAACAACAACAACAACAACAACAACAACAACAACACTAGAATGTGGATGTTGTGGTCTGTGAGTAACAAGTGGCCCTCAGCCTAAAGATACAATGCTTTACCCTGGCTCTTGACAACTGAGATGAATATTTTAAAGGCCCACCTTCTGTAATTGTAAATCGCTTAAAACTGTTTTTCTTTATTTAACTGTTTTTTAAAAAATTGAAACCCTCTCTGGGACTTTTGAATGAAGGGCAGGTTGTTGTTGTTAAATAAGTTGCCTACTTTATTTGCACAATTTGTTTTACTAAGACTTTGCTTTCCTTCACTCTGAGATTTTTTGTATGTGTAGCACATGCATGTTATCCTCATCTCAGACTGAGTAAAGGAGACCAAGAAGGTCAACACCCAAACAGAATCACAGGTGTCTTTGGAAGTAAAACAGAGACAGGGCTCCTGGATTGCATTGTAAATTTGGAACAGGGACTAATTAGTGGGTTAGAAGACTAGAGCACAGGGTTTTCTAGATTGTCCCACTCGCAAGCGATGAGAAGACTCCTACAGCAAACAGAGGAGCGTACAATTAATTCATTTATTATAGTCCAGATGTTAATCATTTGCTTTTGCTAACCTAGATTCCAGTTGAGGAAGCATAGCAGAGGCAGCTGTAATCATCACTAGATTTGAAAGATTGTTGTTGTTGTTATTATTATTATTATTATTAGGCCCACAGAGAGAGATATGGGGAGGCAGATAGAACAATACATTACAATGCTATGCAATCCTGCATTGTTTCAGGCCCCACCCACTTGGGGCTCTGACTCCACCCACCGCTGGCTCTAACTCCACCCACCATTTCCCACAGCCCCTGGTTGACTTTCCTATGGCCTTGAATGGAAAAATAAACGAAGCTTCCTCACCCCTTCCTTAGGAAAGAACTTTTCTGTACGCTGCCATCTGTTCCTTTTTAAACAGAAGATGCCAGAAGTGAACTTGAGACTTTCTGCATACAAAGCTTTTATCAGTGATCTCTGGCCCTTCTTGGAAAGCCGTAATAGCACTTTGCCAGTACACAATGGCAGGATTTTAAGCTGTTTACCTTGCCACAAATTAGGTGTGCGTGCGTGTGGGGGGAATGACTGGAATACAATGGGCGGGAAATGACATCATGTGAATTCCCCATTAAAAAAATTGGGTGAACCAAGGGTGGCAACTCCAAAACCAATTTAAGAAGGATACCAAAAAGCCACAAATGATTTGGGGTGCAGGGCAGGAAAAGAGGGTGAAAGCTAAATAAGGATTTGGAAAGGAGAAGAGTGCCTTTCAGTTAAGTCATGCCTGTGCAAGGGGAATGGGTGTCTACTTGACAGGGCCACCAGAGGCAAAAAAGAAAAGGGACAAGGTACAGCTACTGAAATTCCTTCTTTAACACATCTATTAGGAGCACTGCCCGATCTCTTCCTTACCTGGCCACCTGGTAAACCTCTCTCCAAACTCAGCCAAACAGAATAGCAGATGAAATTTAGCCTGCAGGTTGCTACAAAATGTTGGCACAATGGGACGAGAGTCCATGTGCATTCTGACAGGGTCTACCGTATATTAGCTGCTACTATCTGGGAAAGAGGTGTAAGAATGAAGAGACCTGCTGGGTCAAACGAAAGGCCCATCCACCCCAGACTATTGTTGCTCACAGCAAAGACCCAGGTGCCTCCAAGGCTGCTTCTGCACTAGGGGTTGGGAGTCAATGCTAGTCCTACTCAGATTAGAGCCACTGAAGTCCATGGCCTGGATGAACTCGGGTTTGTTGATTTCAACGGGTATTCAGCTCCTGAGAAACTATTCAGAATGTATAAAGACGTTTCAAATGTTTGCTGGAAAATGCCAAGAACATGAAGGGACATTTTATCATGCCGGGGGGGGGGGGCATGGAAAAAACATACTGGATACGAATACACAGAATCATAAAATCATAGAACTGTGGAGTTGGAAGGGACCCTGGGGGTCATCTAGTCCAGCCCCCTGCAATGCAATGCGATAATAATAAGGTTACTGTTCAGTTGAAGCCAGAACTCTTGCTTTTCGGGCTAAGGGACACACAATTAGAAAGGGGTTATGGAAGAGGACTGCAATACAGTGGTACTTTGGGTTAAATATGCTTCAGGTTACATACGCTTCAGGTTAAAGACTCGGCTAACCTAGAAATAGTGCTTCAGGTTAAGAACTTTGCTTCAGGATGAGAACAGAAATCGGGCTCCGGCAGCGCAGCGGCAGCAGGAGGCCCCATTAGCTAAAGTGGTGCTTCAGGTTAAGAATGGTTTCAGGTTAAGAACGGATCTCCGGAACAAATTAAGTACTTAACCTGAGGTACCACTGTATGTGCTCACAGCCGTGAGATTGCTATAGGCCATGTATGTCCAACGGGACGACCACGGTCGACTCGAGGATCAAGCACTCTGCTCAGCCGCAGGCTTTGCCCGACGCTCAGTCATAGCTGTCAACTTTCAGGTTTGAAAGTAAAGGATCGGCAGCCTCGAAAATAAGGGATCAGAAGCCTCACCTGTCCCGGGGACTGTCTATGGGATATCTAACAATCTGGGATAGCAGCGGGAAGCAGCGGGAAATGGCGCTGGAATAAGGGAATTTCCTGCAAAAAAAGGGAAGGTTGACAGCTATGCGCCCAGTCAGCTGGCCAGCTGGGAAAGGGAGCAGAGAGAAGGGCAGAGAGAGAGAGAGAGAGAGAGAGAGAGAGAGAGAGAGCACACATTTCTCTTCCCTCTCCCCTTTCCTGGTGGTTCCCATGGAAAGAAAACCTTCTCCCTCCTAGTTCTGCATGGATGCTGAACTTCTCCCACCTTTCCAGCTCCAGACCAGCTGCATTAATTCAAAAGTAAGCCACTGCCCCCCCCCGGAGTTTTTCCATCCGGAAAAGGGGGAATTGGACATTTGGGGGCGTGTTGGCTTCCCATGTGGACCGATGGCCCTGGGAGGGGGCTGGTGTGTGTGTGTGGGGGGGTAATAATTTTTTATTATTTTTATCATAATCATAATTTATTATTTATACCCCGCCCATCTGGCTGCGTTTCCCCAGCTACATATATGTTTAAGTTGAAGAATGACAATGGGAGTGTGGTAGATCACTGCCAGTTGGTTTTTTGTGTGTGTGTTTTTCTGTTGCGGGGTCCATCTGTTGCAGTTTACTGTCGTAGCAAATACAGTGGTACCTCAGGTTAAGTACTTAATTCGTTCCAGAGGTCCGTACTTAACCTGAAACTGTTCTTAACCTGAAGCACCACTTTAGCTAATGGGGCCTCCTGCTGCTGCCGCACCACCAGAACACGATTTCTGTTCTCATCCTGAAGCAAAGTGCTTAACCTGAAGCACTATTTCTGGGTTAACAGAGTCTGTAACCTGAAGCCTATGTAACCTGAAGCGTATGTAACCCGAGGTACCACTGTACAGGACTTACATCAATAAGGCACCTGATTAGCAGTGCACAAAATTCCATCACAAAGATTGTAATTTATCCACATAACGTAAACAGAAATTAAGAGAATTATATATACAAAACTTACTACATTACCATTTTTAGCATAACAAGAAACCTTACAGTGCAATTCTATGCATGCTTACCCAGAACTAAGTCCCGCTTAAGGCCACCCCCCCTTTTTTACCAACAACCAAAACCCAACAGTGAAACCCCCCAGGCGGCTGATACATTGAGTATAAATAATCAATAATAACATATTCAAATCAACCATATGTACAAGTCTATATACATTAACACTCCTCGTTCCACAAGGTTTATTTAACTTTTAACATTTTAATTGCCCCAAATTGTTCAAATCTACCCAAATAATTCAATATCTTCTCAAACCAACCCTCCTCTTTCTCACTGACCTTAAACCCTTACCTCTTGTGTATCTTCACAGTTAAATATTCTAAAATTATAATATTATTCAATTTTCCCCTCCATTGGTTCACCCTTAGCTCTTCTGCATTTTCCCAATTACTCGCTATATCCTGTCTGGCCAGTTTTTTTAATATTGGATGGTGGATTGCAACCTGTTGGATGTTGGATGTGCCTGCTATATGCACCAAGATGGAAAGACACAGCCCCGCCCACTATAGAAGAATGGTGATAAAGCTATTGGACTTGGCTGAGATGGCAAAGTTAACATGCATTAGAGAAAAATCATTACAGTGGTACCTCAGGTTAAGTGCCGTATTTTTCACCCTATAGGACGCACTTTTTCATCTCCAAAAATGAAGGGGAAATGTGTGTGTGTCCTATGGGGCGAATGCAGGCTTTCGCTGAAGCCTGGAGAGCGAGAGGGGTCGGTGCGCACCGACCCCTTTCGTTCTCCAGGCTTCAGGAAGCTATCTGCAAGCTGTGGGAGTGCTGCCTGCACCCCGAAGCCTGGGGGGGGCTGAGTGTGGGGGAGAGACCTGTCCTACTAATCAGGTGTGTTCCAAAGCGGGGGCGGGAATGTTAAGACAGCGAAATCCCATCGAGGGGATTTAAACAAAACCGAAGCCAGCTCTCTCTCTCTCTCTGCGCGTTGCAGCTTCGCCAAGCGCGAACAATCCGCACCAACCCTGTCAACTCGCCTCCTAAAAGGGAGGACTTACACGCCTATTGTGTTACAGCGAAGTGAACGCTGCGTGGTCAGTCCAGAGAAACGCTCTACAGTGGTGCCTCGCAAGACGAAATCAATCTGTTCCACGAGTCTCTTCCGTCTTGCGGTTTTTTCGTCTTGCGAAGCAACCCTATTAGCGGCTTAGCGCTATTAGCGGTTTAGCGGCTATTAAAGGCTTAGCGGCTAAAAGGCTATTAGCGGCTTAGCGGCTATTAAAGGCTTAGCGGCTAAAAGGCTATTAGTGGCTTAGCGGCTATTAGCGGCTTAGCGGCTTTAAGAAAAAGGAAACAAACTCGCAAGAACTCGCAAGATGTTTCGTCTTGCGAAGCAAGCCCATAGGGAAATTCGTCTTGCGGAACGACTCAAAAAACGGAAAAGAGGCGGGGGGGGGGCAGTGAGGAAGAGCTCCAAAAGCAGAGCCCCTTGAAAGTGGCCAGAGAGAAATGGAAGGACAGCATCTGCCCGCCCTTTCTGCGCCCCTAGAAGAGGAAGGGCTGGAGCGCCTCTCAGAGGGTGCGCGCTCGGTTTAAAGGGAGCGTCGACCCCCTCAGAGGTGGCACGGAGAACTGCCCACCGAGAGAGTAAAGTTAAAGATTGGCTCGGGCGGAAAGGAGAGAGGGAGGAGGGCACATCCCAAGCCGGGCAAAAACCTTGCAGGGGCGCATCCAGGGAAGCAAAGCCTAGGTGCGGGGATATGCCCGGACAAAGACCGAGCAGTTGGCAGCGCACAGGGAGCGCCGGGCTGATCCATGTTGCCACAGGGCGCCGAAGGTTCCCCGTCTGCTCCGCGAGCTCTTACCTCCCCTTCCAGCTGCACAGATCGCTAGAGTACTGCGCCGTGCAGCCCCTGTCCAGCGCCAGCAGCCCCAGCAGCAGCTTGTTCTGGGAGCTGGGGTCGGGGGAAGCTCAACCTTCCCCCGCCCCAGCCCCGCGCCTGAGGGGGAAAAATTTTTTTATTCCCCCCCCAAAAAAAACTAGGTGCGCCCTATGGGCCGGTGCGCCCTATGGAGCGAAAAATACGGGACTTAATTCATTCCAGAGGTCCGTTCTTAACCTGAAACTGTTCTTAACCTGAAGCACCACTTTAGCTAATGAGGCCTCCCGCTGCCGCCACGCCGCTAGAGCACGATTTCTGTTCTCATCCTGAAGCAAAGTTCTTTACCCGAGGTACTATTTCTGGGTTAGCGGAGTGTGTAACCTGAAGCGTCTGAATCCTGAAGTGTATGTAACCAGAGGTACCAATGTACTGACATTTGTTAAGGACTGGAAATTTCTTAAGGACTTTTTGCATGAAAGAGAAAATGAACTTGTAGTAACTGGATTTGAAGATTGAAAAAATACTGTAGCTGCAAGGACAGAGAGCCAGAAATCCTTTTATTGTTTTCTTCTTTATCCTTCTTTAGTTTTTTTTCTTTTCTCTTGCTTTCTCATTCTTTAGGTCAGTGTTTCCCAACCTTTTTTGGGCAAAGGCACACTTGTTTCATGAAAAAAATCTCGAGGCACACCACCATGCCAGATGGGGAAAGGTCACTTTTTACTTATGTAAAAAAAAATAAAAAAATAGTAACAGCATAGAAGGTAATGGTAGATGACTGTTAGGGTCTCCCCCCAAATGCAGAATTCTATTAATATCTTCCTTAGCGAGCCGCGTTAACCCCTGTAATGCTTTCTATAGAGTAAGCATAGGGGACACTGGGGGATGTGGAACCAAGGGGGCAGTGGGCCAAAAGAGTTCGGGATCTACTGCTTTAAACAGAAATAAGAGCCAGTGGGTTCTTCCTTTTTTAAAGTATCGTTTCAGCGGGGACAGCAGTCCGGATTTCCAAAAAGCGGCGCTTT